ATGTATTTTTTTTCTTAAAATACAACTTAATATGTTTCGATTTCTGTAAATTAAAACCTTGTATCATTTTTTTGAAAAATAACTAATTTATTTAAAAAAACAACGACTTTTTTTAATTTTGAAATTTCTTTCTTCCTTTTTTTCAAAATATCTTGGTTTTCGGAAATTTTATGATATTCTTATCTATATATTCTTTCTCCTTACTGTCTGTTGTATCGATTAAAAAAAAAGAAGTTAAAATTGATGCATTAGATCCCGGGATAAAAGCGAAAGCAGACTCCAGGGTTACCGTAACCCATGTGTGGTGAAATCAGGTGGCGAAAATAGTGTGGTGTTCAAGGGTTAAGTGTGCGTAACAGGATGGAGGTGCAAGTTATTAGTACAACCGGTGAGTTTTTAAATGGAATGAATATAGAAAGCAGTTTTGTTAATATAGAATGGGATTTTGTATTTAGATCTTACAAATCTTGACTTGTTAAGAAGAGCTGTTTGCATGATCAAATGGAGAATTACTCTGAGTTGACTAATTGCGCCTACATTCAGAACAATTGCATTTAAATTTTTGGATTATTAAGCCTAATGTTATACCATGAAGATGGCTGAAAAAAGCAGCCGAAACATCAGAAATATATATACATACAGGTGAGGAATAAAGAAGAATTGTAATGTACATTAATAATAACTATGTACTAGCTCTTAGTTGCCTATTGTTTTTGTAATATTGTTTTTAATATTAAGAGCTCGATTAATTTATACACCGAAAAAATTGTATTCTTAATTTAAGAATATCCCACTTACGTATAGTATGTTTTCCTTTAAAATAAGCGCTGAGACGATCCTCTTAATTTAAGAGGGTAATCATATAAAAATTAGTATTCTCATATTCTTAATATGAGAATGTATAGGATGTCCTATTTTAAACGATGATCTCAAATATCTCTTGAACAATACATTTTAGAGAAAAATGCTTCAGACAAAAGTTGCATGGTTTTAAGGGGGACATCATCAAATTCACCGTGTGAAGCGCGCGTGTAGCACACGTATGGCGACGATCGCTTTCGCAAATCGAGAATATATTATTAATTCAAGAGGAAATATTCTTATATCTGTTAAGAGGAAATATTAAGTACATCTTTCAAGAATACAATTTTTGCGGTGTAATGACATTTCTAACAGTTGTGTTGTGTGTGTGTGTGTGTTATATATTTATATAAAAATTAATTTTTTATAATTTTTTCCCTTTTTGAAAAAATCAAAATTTATTAATTCGTGCATAATGATGATAAAATTTTTCGTTAGAAACGATATTTAATAAATATATATTTATTTCCTTGTGTTAAAACGTTTAACAACTGCCGTACTCGTGTCGTTTGCCAAACTGGTTAAATAGCCTACGCTAATTTTCTTCTTCAAAATTTTTTCACAAAGAAGACGGGTGATAACGCCGAGTGTACAGACGATACAGTAAATAATATCCACTTCTATTAATGTATTGTAGATTAACTTTAATCTAGATTTAATTTACTTTTAATCTGTTTCAAGTTTTAAATTAATTAGAAAAAGGTAAAAAATAAATTAAACCGAGATTAAAATTAATTTACATTACTAGAACTGAACATAAAGCTGGTTAAATAATTCAATATGACGTGCACGACGTTATATATCGCAGAATATCGTCTCGAAATTGAACTAGATATTCGTTGTTGCACAGGTATTGTCAATAACAGAATCATGACTTTCTCATGCTCGAGATAATATTACTTATTGTTAGAGAAACACGTAAAAACACAAAGCATGTACACAAATGACCACAGATCAATGCTTTTTATTATGACGCGCTTGAGTACTGTGTATAATATTTCTTGCAAATCATTAAAAATTTTTTTGCGTCAGAGAATCAGCGACTAATACTTTTAATAGATCAATCTGTGCACAGAGATATCGAACTACGTTCCTTTCCTTGTCAGCAAGTCGTACAAACGCGCATTAGTTGTTCTCCTGCCAAGATATTTGCGCGGGTCTCTCAATGACGTTATTTTAATCCTGTTAAGAGCCACGTGTTAATTCAGCCGTCTAAACAGCAAAAGTAAAAATATAAATGTTTACTTGTAACTATAACTTTGTTCTTTACGACATTGCTACGATTATTGCAACACGATCGCAATTGAAAATCAATTTAACGCATTGTTTAAAATCAATTTAAAAGGTGCAGGTAACAATACAGTAATTATAATAATTATATATCCACTAAATTCTGCTCGAATTTATGAAAAGTTTGCTCTAAAAAAATAGTATGAATTTTTGTAGCCCTTCAATCAGCCTCGCATCATAAAATTCAAAAAATAAGGAATTATTCTTTTAGTTATGATTTTGAATTTTTACTCTAAAGTTATTTCTATGTATAAAATCCGCAATTCGTTAAGCAAAATTATAATGTACCTCAGTAGGGTCACTCGCCTTCTACAGCTTTTATCTACGCGACCTTGAGCCCCGACGCTTGATGATGAAGCCCGACTAAAAAAAAATAGTTCTCCATGTGTACGGATCGTCATTCCTCGCCTCTGACTCACGACGCTTCTTTTCTTACTCCGAAGTCCTTCCCAAGAAGGAAAGAGAACGGAAACGGACGTTTTCTCTCGTTATACTCGTGCAGGATATGCGAGGGAAAATGCCATCTTTTGCGCACCGAGAACTTGAGTGAATATAAGTGTATAGTTGAACGGCCGGCTTTGTTGGCCGAGTCTTCAGACTATCCTGAGATTATAAGAGTTGGCTATATACTGTTTCAAAGCGCCTTTCGAATCCCCGTGTGCTTGGCTCTGTCGTGCGTATAAAGTATCTTTTCATGCTGATACTCGACATTCATTTTTAACGTCAAAATAGGTCAAAAGTGACGTTTGATATTCATCAATTTTTATTGTAAGATCTATTTTGATGCTAAAAATGAGTCGAGCATCAGCATCAGAAAGGGTACTTTAAAGGCCATGGCACACAAAAATTGAAGCATTACAATTCAAACAATCACAGTAGATATCGTAAAGTCATAACGTAAACAGTAACAAATCCATTGATTTTTTTACTGCTTAAATCTTACTGTTTATTTTTTTTTTATTTTGTATACCATAGCTCTATAAACTGTGCAAAAAGTTAACTTTGCTTAGAACTGTCCAAGTTTAATCGTCGCAATTTCCGAAAATCTTAATTCGATTTCTGGCACATCGACCATCGAGAAGATTTTCCCAAACTTCTCGATAAGCGGTATCTTACTCTGAAATCGCTTACTTTCTAGTTCTTAAAGTATCGAAAAGTTATGTGTCCCACGCGATTTTCGCCGAGGCGTCGCCAACTTACTTGGAAGATAAAAGATCCGGAAAATAAAGTCTTACCTGTCCCTCGGAGTGTCCCGGCGCGAGGACGCCAGGGAATGCTTCGCGGATGAATGTGTGGAATCCCTCTGTGCTTCCCTGAGAAGTCGCAGGTATTCACGTTCGCCGGTAATGCTAAACGGCGTCGGCGTTGTCCGGGCCGCCAGCGGCTGGTCCGGCACCAGCTCCACCCAGGACTCTGCGCAGTTAGAAAAAAGATTGTTATTCTGTGCTGAATGCTTATCCAATTCCGCGATCGAGCTTTTACAATAGTTCCAGCAATTCGCGGAGCAGCCACTTTTCAGTGTCCCTCGATAATAATACAATGTTTCCGCACGCGAGGAAAATTTTATCTCCTAGAAACGATCGAGAGAGAATGAATAACAACTGCCAACAGTAATTTTCTAAATAAATAACTCAATTATATTTTACTCGCATTGTCATGAACAAATTTCTTTCAGAAATAATAAAATTTATTATTACAGTAATAAGTACTAAAAAGAAGGACCTCGTTCTTTCCGTATTGAAAAGACCTTTGATGAAATTGAAATTTATATACCTTTTTTAGTGAACATTTAATAAGACTCCATCATAATATGTATCGTAATTTTTCAATTTCTTTCCAGAAATAATAAAATTTATTATTACAATAAATACTAACAGAAGCAACTACCTCATTTCTGTATTAAAAAAAACCCTTGATGAAATTGAAATCCATATCTCTTTAGCGAAAATTTAATAGACCACACTGCATGTATCGTAATTTTTCAATTTTAATTATTAATGTACTAATGGAAACATTTTAATGTTAAATGTTGTTTCTAATATCTTTAAAGTGCTTTTAAATTTTAACACGCTGATGTCGATATATTCGGTGCATATTGTACGGAGAATGAATGTCGTTGAACGACATACGCGATGACACACTATAATATCTTTAAAAATAGCAACAACAACCACTGTATCGATCACGGTAACCTCACGAGGTCAAGTTGAAGGGAAATTTCATATTCTTTTCTTATAAATAATATAACGTCGATTTTTATATCAATTTTCATCGTATATGTATAGTACTAATCTTTGCAAATAAAATTATCAAAAACATAGAAGAAATTTAATATTTTGAAGTGGATAAATATTAAAATTACAATTTCGAAAATAATTATTACATCTAAGAAATCATTGCATTCAAAGAAAATTATTTTTTAATAAATATACCGTTAATATCATGTTCTTTACGTATCATACTTCACGATTATTTTTATATACATGGTTTTATAACATTTATAACGTGATTCACGCTTTGTATACACGTGTACACTTAACAGATAAAAATGTGGTGAGCGTGTATTTGCATTAATGGTTTTTCAAGGACAAACTTGCCTCTTCGATATATATAAATAAATGCGATATACAAATAAGACTTCCGACGCGTTTATTTTAAAATGACTGTTTTGGCGGAACAATTTCATTCTTTACATTGTAATTCAGGGTTGCTACAGAAAATGAATTTAAAAATTCCCTGACTTTTCCAGGTTTTCCAGATGAAAATGGAAAATTTTCCATGACTAATATAAAATATGTAAATTTTAACATTTAGACTCAAGGATTGTAGGAAAGCTATATTATAAAAACGCAAAAAAAAGCTTAATAGAATAGTAAAATTTTGAATGCAAAAGCCAGCAAAAAATTAATTAATTTTGAAAAAAAAGAATGCAGTTACGACGAAAAAGAGAGATCAAATAAAAATACTGAATAAAATATAAATTTGAATTATTTTGTTAAAATCGTTTAAAGTGCGTAAGTTTCGAACTATAAACGTCAGATATAATATCTAAAAAACTATAACAATTATTTGGAATAGGAGCAGTTTAAGGAAATTGTGAGCAAATTTTGAAATTCTAGACGTTTTTACATTTTCCCCTGACTTTTGCCGGTTTCCATAACCAATTTCAATTTCCCTGACTTTTCGCGGTTTTCCCGGTTTTCCAGGTCTGTGGCAACTATGTGTATGCTAATAAAATACTCAGCATGCATTACAAAATAAATAGTTATAAATGACGCGTAACGATTTCCTAAGGTAACCATCTCACTATAAGATCAAACGAGATCAATATTAATCTTTATATCATATATTTAATAAAATTGAAATCTATGAGTTTGTTAATTAGTCAAGTGTTTTGCCAAATGTAGACCGAATAAATCATCAGATTTGGACTGTAAGAGTAATTATCTTGGTTAATAATGATATAATGATAAATAATACAAAATTATGCATCTTTTGATGATACAAATCTTTTGCTAATTTAGAAATAACGAAGAATCGTACTTCGCAATTTGCAAATTATCACATAAATATGCGACTCTTAACTTCTGTGCAATAAGCTGATTGGAATACTAAGTAGCACAATACAGAGTTATATCGATACTGTCTATAGCTGTGTAATCGAATAATGGAAGATTTATTTAATGATAAACCTACTTAAACAAAATATATAGGAATCTTGAGAGAAACTTTCTTTTGTTCGTGTGTCAGACAGAGAGACACAGTGTATGAGCGATACAGATCATATCTATGTCTAGTGGTAGACTTTTTTATTTTCAAATCTTGTAGTTTTCACTACTTCATTTTGCAATGAAAATTCACGAGATGATAATTGTCATCTTAAATAAGAATAAAAAAAGTATTTCAATAAAATATGTAAAACGTATTAGAAAATAAAAAAGATAATGTTTATGAAATTGAATAGCGAATAGATAAATAAGATTAAATTTTAAATAGCAACTTTACGAAATTTTATATTAATTTAATTTTATTTTATTTATAACTAACTTCATTAAATTTTGTGCTACACTAATGTTATTGCAATAAAAATTATTACGTCAGGCGAGTTAATTTTACGTAATTATTTTATGAGAATTTAAGCTACTCATATAACATATAATTTGTTAAAGTTCACACATGTGAGACGGTATGATAAATATCTGCGCTTGCAAGCTCCAACATAATTATCACATAACGAGAATGATCTCATCGCCATGAAATCTCGGGTTCATCTACCGTCGTACGTGACGATAGATTTGCTAACAGCATAACAGACGTTTATATTCCTCGCTCCAACCGCGCCTTTATTCCCTGCATAATTACGAAACGACCGCGCTATCGATGCGCATACATTTTTATCTTACTTAATTTTCAACTTGCAAGTCTTCGTCGTAGAAACAATTAATAAACGAGATTTTCGTAAACAAGTTTCATTCTCCATAATTCAATTAATATCTACAAATATATACGTTATCACTAATCAGAGTTCACGTTCTGCGCTCCTGATTTTCTCGGCGACGCAACCGCGTTCTATTCTAAAACGTGCGACACTTTGTATTTTAAATTTTTGACCTCGAAATATTTGTATTAATTATATTAATAAAAAATAAAACCGAATAAAACAAAAAATCGTTTTAAAAAGATCAACCACAATTAGTTAACGATCAAACTCCTATCCATCATATTCACGTTCTTATCGATTGCGTAAGCAAATTTATAATGTACCACGAGAATTGATAGGACGAAGGGAGGATATAAAAACAGGTTGGTCGATTGAGACAATCGGTTTGTCAGTCACCATAAATCGTCGTGATGTTCACGCGGGTCGTCACGCGTCACGTGTGATGCACGTGCGACATTAGCATGGCGCGATGACCGCCGCAGCTCTTCCGCTCTTCTAACCGTACAAATCATCCGGGCGATAAGGTTTACTTCGAGTTCGTTCACCTATTCGTGAACCGTCGTTAGTCACGTTTGCACTTTCGCCTAATTGGATGCGATCGACATCCAAGCATAAACATAGTTTTAATTGTTTTAAAATACCGTCGAGACTCACATTTTGCGGAAAGAAAAGAAAATTCGCTCTCTCGTACGATTATTCCACAAATAATTGCAGGTAAAAATAAACTACAATAACGTCGATCTAATATTGTTTTTCTGTATGCGAGATTAACGTTCTCGTTCGGTGGCGATATAAATATGTGAAAGACCAAACAATAAATTCGTTGTTACGCACGAACATTCGAAAATTTACGGCACACTGGATTTATCACGCGACTTCTTGCCTCGAAATGAATAATCGACTATATGTAGGCACGCATGCGATTAATGCTCTTGCAAGAATGTGAATTGTAAAAATTAATAGTTACTGTGCACGCGCGGCGTTCGATGGCTGGTATTCATAGTCTTCTTACATATTTAAGACCGTTTTAAATACAGCCTTAAGATATCATAAGTCAATCACAGAGCCGTTTTAACATCTTAAGACATTATGATGCTTTTAAAATAAGAACCGATTATGAATACCTATATCTATAATTCGTTCTATTCGTCAAGATATTAACGCATTAAGATTGTAAATAAAATTTACGAGATTTTTTTCAAGGAGAATGCAGAAACATTGTGACGATATTCCACCTGTTTATCGGAATAAAATAATTGTCTATCATTTTATAAGCGCACCGATTAAGAATATTTTCAAATACGATAAAAAGCAAAAAATTATAAGGCTAGTGAGAATCGACATTGTAGACAGTGTGCTAATATTTCAACAAAAAATCCTTTTGTTGATGTTAAACCATTCAAAATACTTGTTATAAAAAAATTTTACAATTGGTCGTTTAAATGTACGTTTCGATTAATTTTTTAACCATTATCAGCAAAGAAAATAGCATGATCGCGGTATACAACGAATATTTTTTCGTCCAAGTATTTTCAAAACACAATTTTCCCAACAAAGAATTTCCGTAGATATTGTTCCGTTCGAGCACGCAAGATTATGTATATTGTAAACAATGCAGCAGGTAGGAAGGTCGAATGCGATACATCAATTTCTATTGTTAGTCGCTTCGGAAAGATGCGCGCGATAATGTCATAAATGTACGCGATGTTAGATCGTAGCGAGGTTGTTGGAAAATGGAAAAGTTGACTTAGTAAACGCTTGACACCGTTCGAAACGTGCAAGACATGCATCGCTTGACGTAAATTCTTTGGACATACTTCGTCATTCGATGTTTACCATGCAAGATATAACGGAATTTAAAATTATGTTGCACATTACTAACATTTTGTTCCGTTTAATTTCCCAGATGTGCCGATGAATTGCGACAAAAAATCGAACGTGAAGAATTCCTGATTACGCGACATCAGATACA